ATAGTATCGGAATTAAAATTAATTGCATTGCTGTTTATTTACTAGTAAAATATCGACAAATCACTTGATCAGAACGGTAAAGTGTAACAAACCAGTATGATACATTTTGTGTGGACGAAACAGAGTATAGATTATGGGAAATCTTGCTTCATATGTACTGTTGTGGACAAATTAAACAATAGAGATTTGTTTTTTGTTTTATCATTGTTATTAAACTGATGAAACTATCGCTGTACTTATTCGAATAGATTTTCTCTCTTTCTCTTATCAACAACAGCGGTTAAATCATATCTCACATATAAATCTCGTAGAGAATATGTTAACAAATTATTTTCTTTGTTTTTCGTCAATCCATCGTATAAATGAAGCAAAAGAGCGAAAGATAGTTTTGTTTCAATTATAATTTATAGTTCATAGTAGTCATGCATAAGTGCGACAAAAAGGAAAAGATAATTGTATGCTAAAATTATCTTTTGCTAGTTCCCTACACTTCTTTGAACTCTTGTCTGAATAATAAACTATAATTGACATAAAGATTTTATCCCAATGATAAACTATAACTCAAGTGAAGCGTCTATATAAATGAGAAAAAATGTATAATTTTATCTCAGTCATGTGTTTTATAATATTATAGCGAATGCACTGTAAAACATCTTGTCCTCATCCACATTTGAAATCCATTTTCTCTGATGTTAATAAAAAATCAGGAAAATTTTTTTGTAGTTTATTTCTTCGAAGATACTGATAGTGAGAGTCCGTCGACAAGTTCAGCATGATCTATGTATTTTTTTCTCAGTGTCATGATAGCAGTAGTAAAAGGACCTTATTTGATTTAATCTTCAGGCAAACTTTTATCTTTTGGTTTTGTTATACTAAGATCTTTACTCAGTTTCTTCCAATTATTTTTCCAATTGATATTATACAGTTGAAAGTACATTTATGTTCAAACTTAATCTAAGTAACTCGTGAATTTAAGCATCAAGTTATATGGACAAAGTGTTCATTGAATATAATGTTGGTAGTTTGATCATGAAAGTTTTAATTTGACTGAAATATGTCTAGTCTTTTCAACAAACAGTATGCTCCTTTCATTTTACACTGTAACTGTTCAGTGATTGAAATGAGTCTACCAAATATTTTTGTAAAAACTTGATCCAGATATCTAATCAAATATTAAATATGCTTTTTAGATTTCTTGATCGCGCGCTTAGTATAATAAAATGGCTGTATCATTTGTGTACCTTAGTCAGCAGTGTACCATCTACTTCGGACTCTTTATTGCTATCATGGGCCTAATAGGTAATGGAATCAACATCATCGTTTTCGTGAGTGTGCGTAACTACCGCACGAATCCTTCTACATTCTATTATCTTATTGGTTCAATCCAAAACATTCTCATAATGTTAATTAATGTAGGCTTACGTGTTGCATCTGACGGATTTGCAGTGGAATTTCTTATCACTTCAAATGTATGGTGTAAACTCAGAAGATTTTTCAATGTTACACTTAGTTTCATTTCTTTGTGTTATGCGTGTTTGGCTACTATCGATCAATTTTTCGCAACATCATCAAATATTCGTGTACGGAACTGGAGTAATATTAAGTGGGCCCATTATATTGTGATCGTTGTCATGATCATTTGTTGTTTACATGGTATTCCATATCTTATCTTTGCCAACCTTTCACCAATCACTGGTGTTTGCCATTATACAAATAATGTGTTTAACATCTATGTACCACTATTCATTGTTGTTCCGCTCACTATTATAGTCAGTCTTATATTGATCATTTTCGGATACTTGGCCTATCGAAACATTGAACGAACAACTGCTCTTGCTGACCAAGGAGCCCAAAAACAAATGACAAGAATGATTTGTATGCAAGTGATATTAATTGTTTTGTCTCTCTCTCCTTATGGTATTTACAGTATCTATCTCTGGTGTACATCTGGAGTGAATGCGAAAACAGATCCTAATTCTATTCAGTACTTTATCTCTTTAGCTACTACTCTCCTAATTTGGGTCAATTATGCGGTATGTTTCATTTGTTGTACAAAGATTGTTCATATTGTTTCGTATTATTTTTAGGGTAGTTTTTATGTTTTTCTCATGGCTTCAAGTCGTTTTCGTCGGACAGTAAGAAAGCAAATCTTCGGTTGGTGCAAGACAAACCAGATTAGACCAAATGGACAAACATGATAGTGCAGTTACCTTCATTAAAAAACTGATTTCAACAAATACTGATCTCTTAGCAACAAATGACGTTAACTGTTATGTTTTATATTGTTCATATCATCATATTCTCCTTCATTTTTCGGTTCAAATCCTGCTTCTATTTACTAGGCTTTCGTGAATTGCTGTATTACAATTGTTGTCAATTTTTTTCTAGTTGTTGTTGTTTGTCTTGTACTATTGTTGTCAGTTTTGTATCGTTGTTGTTATATATTTGACTGGTGTTAATTATTTGGAATAAAATGTCTTATCAGTCACATTCGTAAATTTTATTCAGACAATAATATAACAAAATAAAATAAGTTGTCGTACAACTTCGTCTTATTATCAATCTTGAGGATGTGAGTATGAATATTAAATAGAACCCACTCTCAAAATCTAATTCATGAGCGGGTTGAGCCAAAACGGATTAATTCATCAACATCTCTGAATCCGAACATCAAAGTAAACAAGTTAGAAAAAGTGATCACGAATTAATCCTAAGAAGTATCACAAAATGATTCTATTTGTTCTCTCTACTGGAAGAAGAGTATAGGCAGAATGAGTTACGTACGTTCTTTCGTTCTTTAATTATTAATTATTTCACTGGTGTATAAAGTTTGACACAAGGGTAAACGAAGTCGAGGAACAAGAATCTAGTGTTCGTTTTTTAAAACAATTTTTTATAGTAATTTTTGGGACTAAGGATCACTTTTTTTTTGCGAAAAAAATGTTTTGTTTTATAGAGTTTGATCTCATAATAGTCGTTACTTCGGAATCGACTTAACAATCTTTTATTTTGTAATTTTATGCTATAATTTTTATATAGTTATTAAAGTATATTTTTAACAACGGTACATTTTCTATACAAGTAAACAAAACATAGCATTCACACAGCTTGTACATGTACACTAGAAGTTGCACAATATTAATTCGTTTTAGTAGAGGATCAGCGATGTTAATATCGGGTGTGGATGTGGGTGTCTGCTCGTCCTACTCACAGCCACCCACACCCACACCCATCCCCTCAAACTAATTAATGCTGTCGTTACTGCTGGAAATCGTAATGATTATTTGATGTTAAATGTTCGTTTTCCGTCTGTGTATCTTTCTATATAGAAAATTCTATTATAACTTTTCGATGAAGGTTGAAGAATATGTCTAGATAAAGAAAGAAAATTAGAGTGACCGGAATAGTATGACTGCATAGCGCACTTATCAATTTAGTAAATCACATGAGATGTATAAAAAACATAAAAACTTAGAAAAAAATCCAACATCTAATTGATTCGACCTTGGAGAATATTTATGGACTAATTAAAAAAAATCTAGATCAAATTTATTATGGAAATAGAAATATGAAATAGGAATTAACATGAAGCAAGGAAGAATTTCTATGCAACGATAACAATAAAGGACAAACCGTGGTAATTAGAAATTTAATTAAACAACTATATAAAGTGTGTAAATGAATGAGCAATGACGAATGTAGTCCTGACATATATTAATAGTTAGAATTTTAACGAGTCAAAATAATAAATAGTCATTTCTAATCGTGTTACCCTCAAGCTGCTTTATTGTACTTTTTTAATTTCTACTTTTTTTATTTGAAATCTTGAAAATGAAATTAGAGGCAGATGATCTGTTTAGATCTCTGGTGAATAATTAACTAAAAGAAATGTTCAATTAGATAATTTGAAGATATTTTCTATATTGGAGGAATGGAATCTCTAATGAAAATCTATCTGAATCTATGCCTTTATATTATTCTTTCTGTGCATAATAGATGTTATCAGTTATCAACATTATTTGACTACTAAATAAAAAGTTTGACAAAGAACAATTTATTCTCATTGATTATCTTATAAAATAATACGACCAATAGGACGATTTTATTGATTTCTCAATCTATTTATCTAACTTTACTTCATTTTATTTTAAAGATCATCAATTTAAAATTGAATTTTTAGTTATTTAAAAATTATTTAGATTATTGTTCAACGAAGTTGAGTCGATACGTCATTCTGAAGAAAATAATAAGATAGTGTTATTAAAAGCTGATGTATATTCCGACGATGACTTGTCTAATTAGATTATTCAAATCGCAAACAAATATTTCTTCGAGTAGAAATAAATTTTTCTCTTCACTTTTAACATATTGATGATACTTTGATCAACTGCTTCCTAATTTTAACCAAGTATCGGATAGCTACTAAATTCAATGATTATCTTGTTAGTATCTGTAATAATTGGTCACTTTACTACTTTCCAACGCATATATTTGGAATATGCAAGATACTAACGTTTTGAAATTTGCCTTGTACGAATTACAGTGTTGAAGGATATAATAATATGTTTTCTACACATCCACAAGCTTACAGATTCACTGGATTACTATTAATAAAACATGGTTTCTGATAACACAAAGAATGAAAAAATAATGTTGATATTGATGTTGAATTGGCTTTGTTGATTGAAGAGCATTAAGAAAGAAAGACGCCTGGACTACAATTATCAATAAACCGTGAGCAAGCAGCTAACATAAAACTAGACAAAAAATTAAAGATAAATATCAGTAGCCCTCTATTATGTTGTTAATTTCATATAGATTAAACGAATTTGTACAAAAAGAACATCAACATTTATTTTTATTTCAATTTATTAAATTACGCACCACCATATATATGTAATTATATATTACAAAAAATTAAACAAGACAACAGAGAAAATAAAACGAAATTATTATATTATGCAAGTCCTAGCACTCTCACAAAAATGTGGTTCATAAGATTAACAAGTTTCTAGAAGAATTTTTAAGTTATCAGTGCCTTCGTTCACAACAGCAAAATCCAACTGTTTATCATTATTGAAATCAGCAACAGCTAAAGATATTGGTGATGATCCAAAACCAAGTGTAAAAGCCGATTCACCTACCAATGTGTCATTACCATATCCAAGAAACACATACACATTGCTCAGACCATAATTAATGACGGCGATATCTAAAAAGATGTCTTTGTTAAAATGACCAACAGCTACCGTATATGGTTTAGATTCAAAGCCAGTTGTAAATGTTGTTTGATTTAAAAAAAAACCATTTTCATATCCAAAAAGTACACTAACACTGTCACTACCACTATTAGCGACAACAATATCTAGTATAGTGTCATTATTGAAATCACCACTAGCTATGGATCGTGGAGAAGAACCAGTTGCATATGTTTTCTGAAGAGCAAAAGAACCATTTCCATAACTAAGAAATATACCCATATTATTCGTGCCCGAATTTGTGACAGCAATATCGAGTCGATTATCTTTGTTAAAATCATCAATGGCAAATGATTTTGGTTGTGAACCATTACCAGTTATGAGTGTTATTTGTTTAACAAAAGCAAAGTTAACATATCCAAAAAGTATACTTAGCCGATCGTCTCGATAATTAGCAACGATGATATCCAGTCGTTTATCACCGTTGAAATCAGCAAGGGCTACAAAGTATGGCAGAAATCCAGTTGAATATACTGCCGGCTCTCTAAAAGTACCATCGCCAAATCCAAGAAGTACACTAGCAGTGTTATCACCTGTATTAACGACGACAATATCTAATCGAGTATCGTTATTCACATCACCAACAGTCAAGGCCTGTGGTGAGTTGCCAACTATAAACGTTGTTTGATTTGCAAATGAACCATCACCATATCCGAGAAGTAAACCTACATTGTTGTCACCATCATTCGCAACGACAATATCTAGTCGTGTGTCATTGTTAAAATCACCAACAGCTACAAAATATGGATAAGATCCAGTTGGATATGTAACTTGATCTGCAAAGGATCCATTGCCATACCCAAGAAGTACACTTATAGTTGCATCATTATTATTAGCGACGACGATATCTAGTTGGGTGTCATTGTTAAAATCACCAGCAGCTATAGCAGTTGGATATGATCCAGTCGGATATGTTACTGGAGGTATAAATAATCCCTGGCCATTTCCGAGAAGCACACTTACATTGTTGGCATAAAAATTAGCAACTATGATATCCAATTTGTTGTCATTGTTGAAATCACCAACAACTATAGCTCCTGGACCCCAGCTAGCTAAAAAAAATAGTGGATATGCAAAAGACCCATTACCATATCCAGAATATACACATATGATATAATTAATATCCAAATTACCAACGACAATATCGAGTTGAGTATCATTGTTAAAATCTGCAACAACTACAGATGAGGGTGAAGGAATAGTAAGATATGTTGGTCCAATTGTAAACGAACCATTACCATATCCAAAAAGTATACTTATGCTATTATCATTAGTATTAACAACGACGATATCCAGTTGATTGTCATTGTTAAAGTCACCCATAGCTACGCACCATGGTCCACGGCCAGATGGATAAGTTTTTTGAGGAGAGAAAAATCCAGTATCAAATGCACTAAATATATCAACATTATCACGATCATCATAAGCGACTACAATTTCTGCTTGTCCATCATTATAAAAGTCACCAGCAGCTATAACTAACGGAGCAAAATCCATACTATCACCATAAACTACTTGACTTGTAAACCATCCTTTTCCATTTCCAAGAAGCATTCCAATATATTTTGTACCATAATTGGCAACAGCAAGATCTACTTGTCCATCTTTATTAAAATCACCGGCAGCGATTGACGCCGGATGAGAATTTGGACCCATTGTAAAATTAATTTGATTTGCAAAAGTACCTGTTCCATTTCCAAGAAGAACACCAATATTATTAGTTCCAAAGTTAGCAACGATGAGATCTTGATATGTATCATTGTTGAAATCATCAGCGATAACATATTGTAAATCGGAACCACCACCAGATGCATATGTCGTTTCACTTGTCAGATCACCTCCAACAAAATGAAGTAATACACTAACACTGTTATTATCGAGATTACCAACAACAACATCCAGCAGAGAATCATTGTTAAAATCACCAGCAGCAATAGCATTTGGTGCTAAACCAGTTGAATATGTTGTTTGAGTTGCAAAACTACCATTACCAAATCCAAGAAGTAAGCTGACATCGTTGTCACCTTGATTAGCAACAACTATATCTAAATATGCATCTTTGCTGAAATTACCAACAACTATAGCGTTTGGTACAGAACCAACTGAATAAACCATTTGATCTGTAAACGACGCATTACCATATCCAAGATATACACTTACACTTGCGTCACCTCGATTAGCAACAACGAAATCTAGTTTACCATCATTGTTAAAATCACCAACAACTACTGCTTGTGGTCCATTACCAGTTAAATATGTAGTCTGATTTGGAAAAGAACCATCACCAATACCTAGAAGTATACCAACAGTGCTGTCCCAACTGTTGACGACGACGACATCCAGTATAGTGTCATTATTAAAATCACCCACATCTAAAGCCCATGGACCGTTGCCTGCTGCATATATCATTACAATTCCAAAAGTACCATCGCCCTTTCCGAGAAGTACACTTATGGTGTTAGCGTGAGGAAAGCCGTTAGCGAGAACAAGATCCAAATGAGTATCATTATTAAAATCACCCATAGATATAGAAGATGGACCTAGCCCAGTTGCATATACTGTTTGATTTGCAAAAGAGCCAGTACCATATCCAAGAAGTACACTTATGGTATTATCACCAGAATTAGCCACGATAATATCTAAATGAGTGTCATTGTTAAAATTACCGACAACTAATGCTTGTGGTCCAGAACCAACTGGAAATATTGTTTCATTTCCAAATAATCCATCAGCATATCCTAATCGTATACTTACAGTGTTGTCAATATAATTACCAGCAATTATATCTAATTGAGTATCATTATTGAAATATCCAACACCTACAGCAGCTGGATTATTCCCAGTTGAATATTGTATTTGATTAACAAATCCTTTACTATATCCAAGAAGGATGCCAATAGCATTAGTTTCATTATGAATAACGACAATATCTGGTATAACGTCATTATTAAAATCAGTTATGGCAACTGAAACTGATGATAAAGAACCAGTTGAATACATTGTTGGACTTCGAAAACTACCATTCCCATACCCAATCAAAACTGCAATATCATTAGTACCATTATTTGTAACAACTAAATCCGTATGATTGTCATTATTCATATCACCAATGGCAACAGCAATTGGAATAGAATTACCAATTGAATAGATTGTTGAGTGTGAAAAAGATCCGTTGCCATTTCCCAAAAGTACACCAACACTATGACTACCATGATTTGCAACAACAATGTCAAGAAAGTTGTCACCATTAAAATCATGAGTAGCGATCGAATATGGATGTGAACCATAACCAGTCGGAAAGGTATTCTGAGTTATAAAAGTACTATTTTCATTTCCGAGTAAAATACCAACGTTATTTGTACCAGAATTAGCGATAGCAATATCCATATGTTTATCATTATTAAAATCTCCAACAGTAATTCCCATCGGAATAGAATCATAACCTGTAAAATATGTCATTGCATTGGAGAATTTTCCATTTCCATATCCATAAAAGATACTTATGCTTTGCGTGCCATAATTGGCTACGATCATATCTTGTGCTTTGTCATTGTTCAAATCCGCTACATAAATCCAAAGAGGACGTGACGAACCAGTGGAAAGTGTATTTTGACTTCCAAAAGCTCCTTTTCCAATTCCCAAAAATATACCAACATTATTAACACCATAATTTGCAACAACAATATCAAGTCGACCATCATTGTTGAAATCGCCAACAGTTACCATACACGGTGTAGAATTGGTACCAGTAGAATAAGTCATTGATGTTGATGATAAACCAACATTACTATATCCAAAAAACACAGCTATATTGTTTGTTGCACGATTTGCAACAACAATATCCATCCAAGTATCATTATTGAAATCACCAACGGCAACAGATTGTGGTCGATAATTGTACTCGACCTGTATAGGATTTACCAAAGCGAAGTTCATATCACAAATTACAACTAAAAAATACATAAACAATACATAAACAATAAACTGATGATCTAATATTCATGGGATTATTATAACTGAATGTCGTTAGATACAAGTATATTGGAATACACTTGTGCATAGTTTTTATAACAGTCAACAAGAGTCTTGCTGTTAAATATAAAGATAAAGTACCACTTACAATTTTGATTTCAATATTTTCAATAGGAAAAACACATTATATGAAGATCATACCTGGTTTTTTTGGCATAGTATAAACAACTATCAATATTCCAACTAGCATTGATATGGTTGAGATTGTACAAGCCAAACACTCACGACTAAATAATATACTTTTTATTATCGATGAACAAGTTTTTCTATAAAAAACAAAAACAAAACTAAATTCATTTTTAATATGATAAAGAGATATTGCATACTCAGTTTCTCTATTTGCTGCATATCGCATTTCGTCATCAGGCCAGTTCTTACGAACCTTCATTTCAATATCTTTATTTGAAATCGATTCCCCATTGCTGTCTACATTGTTAAAATCAAAAAGTTCTCCAGGACCTAGATCATCGGTGTATTCATAATGTTCCCCAGAATCCGGATCATTGATTGAAATAATATCATCAATAGAATTCATTTCAACCTATAAGAAAAAATATAGCTAAGAAACAACACATTTGTAATATAAACCTAGAAATAATATAGAAGAACGATCGAAGTCGAAACAAAATAGTTACCTATACTTAATATGAATAATAATAAAAGTGTATTAAGAAAAAAATATAAAGAGGAGAGAGATTTATAACGGTTTGTTCACACGGCTCACTGATGCAGAAATTATCTCTTATCTCTTTCTTTTTCGTTTCGACGCAAAAACAAACAAGCAATTAAATACAAACGACAACGTATATTTCGTTTTTTTTATTTACATGACGCATTTGCCTATGATGATTGTAGAAAAAAAACATACGTAATTTTTTTATCTATTCTGTTCCTTACACATAATCTTCACTTACGATTGATTGCGATAGTTGGGAATTAGACAATATTCGTCATGTATTTTATGTACAACCAACATATATTATGGCTATGAAAATTTAAAAAAAATAGTTATTCTTTAATAGAAGAAAATAAATATTTTACGAATATTTTCGAATAATTAAAAAGCAACAGTTATCGTACATGAAAAATTTTTCTTGACTTAATTTTGTGTCCGATAAATATTTTAGATGTCCTTGAAAGTGCGTAAAAATAAATGACTAATCCATACAATCATCGCCTTCTTATTCATCGATTGTTTTTGTAATAAGTCATGTTTATCTAATTACGTTCTTCTCCATTACATACCAATCGTTTATGTAATTTCAATGCATTTAAATTTAATTTTACTATCGTATTGCTGTTAAATATTATCATTATTGAAAATTTTACTTAAAACATCAGATGATTATGTTATTTATCATAAAAAAAATGAGTATAACAATTCTATTTAATTTTATGAGAAAATACTTGAAAAATAAAAAAATATTTTCGTACGGACTTCGATTTTTGAAACTTCTTTTATCTAAGAAATCGACACGTCTTCATTTTGCTTAAAAAATATTAAATCTGAAGCATAAAAAGGACTTGTTCTTTTTTAAAATGAAAAGCAGAATTACATATTCTGATTGGAATAGCAAACTTTAAAATACGAAAATTTTATAGTTTGTATTAGTTGAAAATTAATAGAATTATTTAAAATAATACTAAATGAGATATTCAATCTAAAAAATAAATTATCTTCCATTAAAAAGAAGAAACATTTGAAATTAAATCAAATGAATATAAATAAAACTATCTACTTCTTTAGTTCAATTATTTTCTTAATTATCCAATCTCATTTATATCACAATAGTCACAACATGAAAAAAAAGAATATTTTTTTGCCTATTATAATATCCAAAGAAATCTGTAGAAATTGTTCCTCTAATCAATGAATAATTCAAAATCCATTAGAAAAATTAGTTATAAATCATGATTTTACGCCGATTTTTTTTCTATCGAAATTAGTAAAAAGTCGTTGAGATTTTCACGATATGAGTTAGGAGAGAATATATGAATGAAAAATGACTCATTTTGAAAGAATAAAAAATTACAGTATATATCTGTTTTTACCTATTCAACTTGTTGAAATATAATAACAAAATTTTATCAATAGTATTGTTGATTTAAATCAACGGTTTTTTTCATTGTAAACTAAAAAATATAAATAATAGTTTTGTCAATTTGTATATTTATTATTGACTAATCTCGTTCGGTCATGAGTCATTCACTTTCTCACTCCCTTAATATTATAAATACAAATGACTTGTCCGCATTTCTAATTTATAACAAATAACTTTTTTTCTGAAAATTTAGCTAACTTAATATCTTGGTTGAACCATATAAATCATTAGTATAGATATAGAAAATTCGTTCCTAAATATCAATTTACATAACGGGCACAATTAAAATATACAATGAGGTGAGAAAAGATATTTTTCAAAAATAAAAGTTATTCGTTATTTATCTGTTATTTATAGCAATACTGTAATTTTTATGTATGTAAGTCTTATATGAAAAATCACTTTTAAGCAAACATTTTTGCTACACATAAAGTACATCATAATGAATATCAATTTTGTTTTATTCGAATATATTCATTCGTCATCATTGGATATGAAAGAAAATATCGCAGGACAATTTTTTTCTCTTGAAATTTGCTCATATAGAGATATAATAGGGTGAGTGTGGATGGCTGTGGACGAGGGTAAAACGAAACAATATTGCCCATACTCATGACCGCACCTACACCCTCACACCCACATCCTATTTTACAGATGATACTCATCAATGTGGTAAATATTATATGTTACGTTTTTAATTTCCACTATCAAAAATGACGTTTAGGTATATTCGAAAAATTATCAAAGTTCTCTGCAGATCTTTTACTTGTCACTCATTTCATGATCAACAAACGTGTCATTTCATTTGTCCAATAAAACCAAATAGATTTATTAACACTTGAGTATATTATTCATGTAAAATAAGACTTTCAAAGTGCATACTTCATGATGTTTCAAAATTGTTTTTATAAAATACTGAAGTTATGCGTTTTCCCCTGGATACCATCTCAAAATGTCGCTGGAGACTAATAGAAATCTGTCTTGCAAATCAGACTAGTATCGATATCTTTACTATACCATGAAAGAGAATGTTTGGTTATATTATCTCTAAATGACTCCATTGGAAAATATCATAATAAGGTATATAATTTGTTCGTTAAATAGAAAGATATTTTAGTAATAAATGATATTATTTGAAAATAAACTATAAAAAATCATATATTCTTTCAAAAATACAATTTAAATAAAGATATTTTTTATTCAAATCTATATAAGATGAATGTTTATACAAGGCAACTTTATACTTTTGTTAGATTTTGTATTATCCTAATTATATAAATTATATTTATATGTACCTTAAACAGTTTGTTAACATCTGGCGCTATTGGTACTGGTCTATTTAAAAGAAGATAGATCACCATCTTGATGTCTAATATGTAATCCAATATTCATGTTTAAGTAAAATATCATTTAGTACTAGTTATAGATTAAGTAATGGAAGTTTTTCTAAAAAATTTTATAGAAAAATGCGAGAAAATTAAATTTTAAATTCTCCTAGACAATAACTAATACAACTCTGGTTTTAGTCATTAATATATTTGATTATGATCTTGCGGATTTTCAGATCAGAATAATACAATACGGAAGTCAATAAAACTCTATTCTTGTTCACCGAGACTTTTTTCTAAGCTTCCTGATCGCTTTTATTACAATTAATAATTATTAATAAAATGTTTGCTCAACCAATTGCTGCTATTAGTCCAATGAATAGTTGGAATACAAATTATCAAACTATTAGTTATGGTAATTATGATTATGGAATTTATTCGCAAGATGTTGAACTCTATCGTAATCCATATACAGGACGTGTTAATGTTGAACGCGAAGTTGATTTTATTCCAATAGGTAATCAATATTCTCAACCTATAACTGGTATTCCTGCAGCTATTCATCAACATTATATAAATTAATAAGTTGAATATTTGAAATGAGTATTGTATACATTCTTTTTTATTTGTTGTTTCGTTTTGTAAAATAAAATAAAATGAAAAATATAAAAATAAATTCGTTTTCTTATTTTATAGAAGTATAGATGGCTATTACAATTGCCTTCACTCTTGTCCTCAATTCGATATAATCGTTGTCACCAAGGATGTGGGTATAGATTTTATATTCATCTCTCATCTTTATTCTCACAATCACATTCACATCTGGTGCAGATTCCACATGAGAGATTAAAAAATAAATCATTAGAAAAAGAGTAATGCGTGGATTTTTAAACAGTTTTAAGAACCAAATTTTCAACTGAAGATATTATATGTTGTAATAACAATATCTTGTTTTTACTTTCTTGTATTTCATCATCATGTTTAAAATAATATTATTGTATTCTGTTAACATTTGCACGACACTATAGTGATGTAGCAGAAAAATAACGACTCTCGTAATCAGCTAGTTAAATAAAGTTTAGTTAATTGTTTAAAAGAAAATAGTTTGTAAATAAGAATAAGACATTCTTTGTATGGCGTTTATATTAGAAGAAAACAATTATTCATATTAAAAATATCTTCTTTTTTACTTTTTTTTGTTTCTTTAGTTTTAAAAAATAAATCTAAAATAATTTTTTTTTTCATAAGGAAGTATCATCAAATTAAATACACAACAAATTTCTTTCTTTATTCTGAACAGAAGAAAATATATTTTGGTAAGTATTAACTTTTTGTATGGGTTAGAAAAAACAAAAACAATCTTAATTCTATCAGATCATCATAGACACTATCGAATGAAAATTTCTAGATAAAAAATATTCATATTGAAGAAGAGCAGAAATTTTTTTGGAAAAGAATAAATAATCAGATATCCAAAGGTTTTGTTTATTAAGAACTGTAGAAAACTATAGAGAAAACAGAAAATTATTGCAATAAACTACCATATGTGTTAGCTAAATCATACTCCTCTATATAAGTCCTATGAAGATAAATGAATATTGTTTTCTTCATATTCCTTTTATTATTTGAAAGACTTTTATAAATGAAAAAAAAATATTATTATACAAACGAGATTTTTTTGCAGTTAAACTATATATTTGTGATTTTTCAATCTAGATTCTCGTCTTAGATCACTATCGTTAAACATCTCTTAATTTTTAATAAAAATAATCAAAATGTTGTATTTATCCTTCCTTTTGAGTAGGGTGCCGTTGGTCGAATAATTTTCGGTCGAAAAAACATTT